TTTATTTTGGCATACCCATTGTTATAGCCTTTACGTACATAATGTTTTAATATTTGTTAATAGCGGCAAACATAGGCTTAAAAATGTTTGTTTGTGAAAATGTGAATCATTAAATTTTATGCAGAATTAGTAGTAAGTAAACATTTATTAATTTTATGAGGAATAATATATGGAGATAGCATTGTTTATGTGGCAATTATCTATGGGTCACACAAATAGTTGTACCGTGAGGGAAGCCACCGAAGTCATTACCTTGGCAACTGCGCCACGGCGCCAAATGTTCAGGAATTATAGAAGAAACATTTATAACTTTTATTCCAAATTTAGCCACACGCACTATAGTTAGTTTAATAACAATAATACGTTGGATAACAAAAAGAAAAACGTTTGTGACCAACATTCCCCAACATGTTTCTACTTTTTACGGTAACTCTTTTACCGTACAGGCTACACTACTTTGGAATTCCTTGTCTGAAGACATACGAAGAGCGCCTAACAAGGCTTCATTCAAACACATGGTACGGGACTATTATTTATAGAAGGACAGAATTAGTGTTGTCATGTCACTTCAAATTATTTTATACTTGACCCGCCCCGGCTTCGCACGGGTGCAATGTATTATACATATTCAAGATTTTCAGATTCAAGAGGAAGATTTCCTCTTGAATCACTCTATCGAGTAAAAAAAACTGCATACAAAGGGACAGACAGACAGCGGGATGACTTTGTTTTATACTATGTAGTGATGTACAGTAAACAGACGTTTACATTTCAAGTGACACTTTACCACAGTCACTCACTTGTTTTGCCTTCCCGGAACCCCTCCACTAAAACTTAAACTTTATGATATGGTATTAAAGGTCAAATTGACTTTAAATTTATTATTACGAATCTCTTGTATGGGATATAGAAAAGTGTCGTTTTTAGACTTTTTCAGGCAAATTTTTCAGGTAAATTTTTCAGGTAAATTTTTCTCTCCGTAAGAACCTCATCCTTGTACTTCAAGGAATATTATAAAAAAAGAATTATCGAAATCGGTTCAGCTGTTCTCGAGATTTGCGCTTAGCAACACATTCAGCGATTCATTTTTATATATAGATATATAACTTTATATGTATGTATTTGAAAGAAAGAAAGAAAGAAGAAACGTTTATTCACGGTCTAAGCACAAATAGATACATAGAACACTTAAAAATAATAATGTAACTACACATTATATTAAATAATATTAGAATAACTTAAAATAAATGTAAACATAACAAAAAAACTAAAAATAATAATAATAATAAGTGAAGGTCTGTGTAGCAGCATAAGACCGTGAAACGGACGGGACTCGGTTAAAGTCGAGATACAGTAACTAAGATTCGTTCTGATCCCGACGCCGGTTTTCAGTCCGCCCGCACTTCGTAGTATTGTAGTATTTGTAGTATTTATATATACATGTTTATTTTTATTTCATAATTATACCACGACCCAAATGGCGTAGTGGATAGTGTACCCTACCTCTTGCGTTGCGTCAGAAGATGTAGGTTTTTATAGTGTCCGGGTGTTTATATGTGATTAATTTATATTTATTTACAAACGAAAAATATGTTTAAGTATGTCTATCAGTTATCTAGTACCCATAGTACAAGCCTTGCTTAGTTAGGTACTAGAGAACGTTGTGTAAAAATGTGTCCTAAAAATATTTAGTATCTATTGTATGTATTTTATTTATTTATTTATTTAATCTTTATTGCACAGAAAATTGTACAAAGGCGAGCTTAATGCTATATTGCATTCTCTACCAGCTAACCCTAGGTAGAACAGAAACAAAATGTCAAGGGCAGTAAAGTAGTTATAAACGATACATAATTAAATAAATAATATGTAATAATTAGGTAATAAATCTAAAAACTACCAACATAAACATATATATAAATGTATATACATATATATACATACATCCATATACACATAAATACATGTCAGATGTTCATACATAGTCAAGTACTATTAAGTAGCTATTACTCGAAGCGCGAAGATTGAGGGAATGCGAGTCCCCGAGGAACTGAAATCTTTCTTTTAGATAGGAAGTTGAGGAGGGGTCATAAAGGATTGAATACAGAGTAGAAAGGATACGAAAGTCTTTGCGCTGGCGTATCGTCAACCACTTTAGTTGGGTACGGAAGTGTGACACGTGGTCATATTTGCGCAGCCCAAAAACAAATCGTATGCAATTATTCAGTAATCTCTCCAACTTGTTCCGCAACTCTTGGGAAATATTAGTAAGACATGCATCAGCATGGTCAAATAATGGAAAAACAAGGGACTGAACAAGAAGGAGCTTAGTAGAGGAAGGCAAGAAGGCTTTAAGGCGATATATGGAACGAAGTATGCCTGTTACCCTGCGACAGATCTCAGTGATATGTAGTGACCAGGTAATAGATGGGTCAATAATTAACCTAAATCCTTAACTCTACCACAGAAAGGAACAACGCAATCCTCATACTGGACTGGTGGTAAATTAGACATGTTAAGTCGTGAGAGTAGTCGACGGCTACCAATGACAATTGCTTGGCATTTGTTGGGATTTACAGTTATTCCGAAGCGCTTGGACCAGCTTGAGGTACGATTCAGATCACCATTAACACGAGAAATTGCGGTATGAATGTCACTGGTGAGCGATTGTGAGTATAGCTGAAGATCATCAGCATAGAGGTGGTAAGAACATTGAAGATGGTTAGTGAGAAGGTTAATAAACAGTGAAAATAAGAGGGCAGAAAGTATGCCTTGCGGAACGTCTGCAGTCAAGTCCGACCAGTTAGGAATATCCTGACCTGTCCGTAGAGCTTGCTGGCGACCGCGAAGATGTATGTATATTTATTTCTTTTCTCGTCTGATTGGGTTTATAAATAGAAATAATATATAGTGTATATGTATATTGCATATATAAAATAAATATTATAAATAAAAATAAACATATAAATATATATATTGTATATGATACATAAATAAAAAGGACCCAATTATTATTATCTTTGGGTTGTTCGGAAAGTTTTTTCGTTTTTTTTTGTGGAAATGAAAGACCGTTTTCGTATAATAAACAAATACTTTACTAAATAATATATTGGCCGTTCTGGTCCAACACCTTTTGCCATCTTTCAGGTAGTAGCATAATTCCACTCTCGGAAAATGTTTGGTCTTTGCTGGCAAAAAACTGATCGAGGTGGTTTTTGACCTCCTCATTTGAGGTGAAGGTTTTACCGTCTAAAAAATTTTGGAGTGACCGGAACAAATAATAATCCGATGGTGCCAGATCTGGAGAAAATGGTGGGTGTGGCATTGACCCATTCAAGCTGTAAGAGCTTTTGGCAAGTGACCAAACTTGTATGAGGTCGGGCGTTGTCTTGGTGAAACACTACACCTTTCCTGTTGATTAGTTCTGACCTTTTCTGTTGAAGTGAATTATTCAGTTTGTCTAGTTGATGACAGTAGAAATAATCGTGGTGTTATCCGGTAAAAAAAGCTCAAAAACAAATCGATTCCTTTAAAATCCCACCAAACAGACAGCATCACCGTTTTTTGGTGAATATCGGCTTTGGAAATGGTTTGAGCCGGTTCATCTTTTTTCCTCCATGACCTCTTGCGTTTGACGTTGTTGTATACAACTAATTTTTCGTCCCCAGTGATGATGCGCTTCAAAAACGGATCATTTTCGAGACATTTGAGAAGCGAATCGCAGACGTCAATGCGGCGACACAGATTTCTCTCTGTGAGAACATGGGGAACCCATACATCGAGCTTCGAGGATAATCCTTTCCTCCAGGCCTTACGAGTGGTTATAAACTGTTGAAAGTGTTGTTATTCGCCGGTTCGCATCAACTTATGCCTTTATCTTTCGGCTTTATCAGCTTCAACCGGCCTTCCCGAACGTGGTGCACCTTCGACATCAAAATTGCCGGATCGAAATTTAGCGAATCAGTTCGGGCACTGGCGTACTGTCAACACACCTTCTCCATACACATCGGTCAATTTCTTTCTGGCTTGAACAGCATTTTTACCCTTTCTGTAGTAAAACAGTAAGATATGTCGAAAATGCTGCTTATTGACCTCCATATTTAAAAGGGCAACAACCAAAAACTACTGCATAGAATTAATTGAAAGTTTTCACAGACAAGCCTTGCTATATGTGCTCTCAAAGCATATAAAAATTATACGGCTTAAATGTAAAGTTGGCTGCAAAAAAATACAATTATTAAATCCTCTGTCGGGAAAAAACGAAATTACTTTCCGAACAACCTATTATTATTATTATATATGTTATAGTAATGTTTATGTAATCTCTTATATATAAAAATGGATTGCTGTTCGTTAGTCTCGCTAAAACTCGAGAACGGCTGGATCGATTTGACTAATTTTGTTTTTATATATTCGTGGCAGTCCAGGGAAGGTTTAAACAATAAGAAATTATGGAAAAATTGCATGGAAAATCTAAACAGCGACAATTTTATTTTCCCATACAAACCAGTACCTGTCAAACGATTTTTGAACGCGTTCCGATTTCTCTAGAAATAATTTATATGGCAAAACAACGTTTGCCGAGTCAGCTTGTATCTTATATCTATATTGCGTTTTTGTATTTAAGCATTTTTTTTTTTCACGGAACCATATTGTAATTCCTTTTCTGTATTACACCACATATTTTAGGGTATTTCAAAAAAGAATAAATAAAACAAATAAAATTTTTAATCCTTCCCTGACTCTACAAAAAATAAGTTGATATTGTTCTGCCAGGGTCATCTGTGTAGTTTTTTTGCATTAAGAAGTCTCATTTCCAATAAACGTTAAGAATCATATCCTGTTCAAAACAAGTATATTGTAAAAAAATACGAATCTGTGTTACCGCCAATCCACTTGCGTTTTCTGATATATGATTACTGGCTACAGCCTACAGATCTAGATATCAACGTTCAGTTTTTAATCGGTATCTGTGGCGAGTGGTTATCATCGACCTCATAATGGACTCCCCGCCGGAACACCCGCTTTTGGAAATACGACAAGAGAGCATCGACTACATACGAAAGGTACACAACCTGGATAAGCCAGGACGAATGAAGGAGGCCGTCAATATCTTAGACGAATGGGCTAAGAAACAAACACATTTTACTAAGAAGGATTTCAGTAAGTATTATTTTATGTGCAATGTGCATTAAAAATATTTTTCTTTTCGTATTTCAAAACTTCTAGACATTGCGAATAGCAGGTATGAGTTTTAGAGTTAGTTAGTAGATAAAATAATGCCTGCGTCTGATGATCTCGTTCTATCTAGATGGGTAATTACATCTATATCTTATGCTCTTAAAAATCTCGTGATGCACATTCATGGGCATGACAGTTTTTCGTGAAATTTACTCTCATACTATACTCATATAATCTAAAACGGAAACCGGTGGTATTTTAATTTTGTTTTTTGATTGACTTGCTCTATAAACGTAGAATATTTTTGTATCGGAATATCGATATTTTACACGAAATATTTTTAATTATATTAATTAATGATTAATTAATTATGGGGCATGTTCATAAAATTAATGACCACAATAATGTCATATATTGCGCTACATTTGGCATATATTTTTAGAAACTGTATAGATTCTGGAATATTTCTAGATCTTATGAAATTTAGTAAGATAATACTCATCTTCAAAAATGGGGATAAAAGTTATCCAGGCAATTATAGACCTATTTCCATATCCATTTGCCATTTGCCATCCCTAAGTTAGATTTTTGAAAAAGTAATTTTTTATCAACTATTAGTACATTTTAATAACAACAAAATTTTCACGATGATCAGTATGAATTCACTAAAGCCATATCGACAATATTTATAACGCCTGGGAAAGGTCACAAGATGCAATAGGTGTCTTTTGCGACTTTTCAAAAGCTTTTGGACTGCGTAGACCACAAAATTTTTCTTCAAAAGCTGTGATTATTATGACATTCGTGGCATCGCCCACAATGCATCTCCTCAATCCACAATCATCATTGCATCTTAGTTTAGTAATAGAATTAAAAAATGAATAAGAATTCAAAAGTCTATAATCTATAAATGAGTCTAAAATTCCCTATGAAAATGGGTGTCTCACAGGGATTATTCTTGGGCCCATTATTACTTTTGGTATATATATGTAAATGATCTCTCCTTTTATGCCAGTGAGTCGTGTGATGTTGTACTGTTTGCTGACGATACATCACTAATTTTTAAGGTTGACCGAAATGTATTAAATTATGACGACGTGAATAGTGCACTGTAATTTATCCTCATCTGGTTTATCGTTACTAATAAATCATTTGTCGTTTTTGAGTCTTGGAATTTTGTATCAAAATAAGTATATGTGACGCCCTATTAATTCAATAATGAGTCTTAGAGAATTGCCTTGCCTTTTTTATTTTTTTTCTTAGAATATAAGGTAACAGTAACACTTTTATTATAAAAAGCAGAGCAAAGATAAAGCAAAGATGCTCTTCGTTTAACGTCAGTGTCCAAGCTTCACAGCCATGCATTAAGATAGGTCTCTCTCTCTGGTTAGTTGCAGTACCTAACTGGTTAACGCCTTTATCGGTGACCTGACCAACACCAAGGTTATCCCGCTTTCCTCTGTTATGGTTGCAGCTTTTATCCCGTAGGTACTCTGTTTTGTCGAGGCTAATTCTGAGACCGATCTTTTTTTCCCTAACTTAAGGGTGTCCGCCATGCATCCAAGGTCTTGTTTGAACTTTCCTTTTCCTATTGCCTTTTAATTCATCGTCCTCCAGTGCATCGGATCGCGTATTCGAGCACTTAATTGAACAGCAACGGCGACAAAGCGTCACCTTTCTTACCTGTCACTACTTCTAACTTATCAGTGAGTTCTCTTTCATCTCATCCTACTGACGGAGTTTCTTTCGCCTTTTTCTTCTCCGTTAGAGGAACCGTAATGAAGAAACGGTGGTAGATTAAAAAAAAATGAATACCGATAAATGAAATGTATTTTTCTTATGTCGATGAATAAGTGATTTTCATTTTTGATTTTGACTGCCTTTTGTGGCTACTATCACCATATTGACCAGTTTTTCAAGTATATTAAAGTGCCGTAAAATTCTATGCAAGAACTTTGTCCATGCTGTCATACGCTTTTATGAAGTCATCGAACAAAATATGGATAGTCTGTGCATATTCCCATTTCTTCTCCATCAGCTGCTTTAGGAAAAATATTTGGTCTATAGTACTCCTGTTGCGCCGGAAGCCAACCTGGTAGTTACCTAAGATGGTTTCAGCATTAGAGTCTAGTCGTTTTAGTAGGATATAAGATAATATTTTGTACGCTGATGGAAGCAGTGCAATGAGCCTGTAGTTGGAACACTGTTTTTTGGATCCTTTCTTGTGTATAGGGCAGATAACTCCCACATTCCACTCTTTTGGTTGGCTTTCATCGTTCCAGATCTTAGGCAAATTATTTATTGCACTGCTCCTCCACCATACTTCCAAATTCCACCAGGTATCCCATTAATTCCCGTGGACTTTTTGATCTTCAGTCTCCTAATAGTCCTACGCACCTCCTCAAAGTCCGGCGGTTCAATTTGACTTTCACAGCTCGTACTGGGATCTATGGCAGTTAGTAGGTGGACAATTCAGTAGTTGCTTTAAGTATTGGTGCCACTCCTTCTTCAGCTCTTCCGGGTTATAAGGTCGCCTTTCTAGTTTACTAAAGTTTGAGTTTTTGGCCGGTATCCTTTGTTAAAAGAATTTACTTCAACTGTAGAATGTTCTACTTTCACTAACTCTGAATAGGTGTTCCATATCTGTTAGATTATCTTTCTAGTGTTTCCTTTTCTTTAGTCTTATTAAGTTCCTTAGACTTTTTAGCGCTTCTCCAAGTTTGGTAATCCATTTGTTATCTTGTTTGGAGAGAACCTTATATTTCCTATTTTCTAGGGACATCTCACACTCTTCATTCCACCATCTCCTTTTCTTTCTCTTTTTGCCTATCAGTGAGAGCGCAGATTTCAAAACTGTTTTTTAGTATCCTCCCACGTATCGTTAATATCTTACTAAACTGCTAAATATCGATTTATTTCTGTGATCTAGCTGAAATTTCTGACGTACTTCATTGTTCCTTAATTTTTCTAAATCCAAGCTTTGGTCTTCTAGCGCGCAGGACTTTCGTGCAACTTTAATCTTAGCTTTCCTGTTTACTCCGAGCATGTAATGATTGTCGCAATCTGCTCCTCTGTAAGATCTTAAGTCCTCTATCGTGCTTTTATGGCAATTATCAACCAGAACGTGATCAATTTCATTAACCGTTTAGTCACCAGGATACGTCTTTTCTTTCTCCACGTCCCTTCATGGATGGTTTGACTGACGATTTTCATGTGTTTTCTCGTGTTTGCTATGTTTTCCTATGGTGGGCACGAAGATATATTCTCTTCTTACTTGGGCATTGAAATCTCCAGTGACAATTTTTATTTTGTACTCTGGGATTTGATCAATCGCAAGTTCTTCGTAGAAGCGATCCTTTGTGTTTTCCTCTGAGACTGCTGTGGGGGCACATACGTTGTGGTTGGAAATATCTTTAAAAGTATTTTCCGTTTTCATCCCCACTGTAAAATAATTTATTTATTATTATTCATTATTATAAATAATACTATCCCATTGACCAGGCCACCGCACTTCTTTTAATGCTGCAATCGGTATGTTACATATTTGTAAATTGTATTTCTTTATTAAGTCATCTGTCATTCATCAACTTATCTACTCAATTCTGTTAATAAGATGCAATATTTTTTGCCTTTTCCCTTATACAAATCTAAACTATTGTACGTTTTGAATACAGCGTCGAAAATGTCATTATATACATAATTCGCAGTACGCGGTACTCAGTCAATGAACATTCGTTTTCCGGGAAATAATAAAAAAACTTTTTGTCCTACAATAACAAAAAAATTGAACCTAACTTCGAAACGATTATAATAATTAACTTTTAAGCTTAACACATTAATAGGTAGGTAGCACAGACGTTTTTAACTATTTCTTCTTTTAAATCTTCACTGATGATGCAGGTACGAGTATCCATGGCCCGTGGAAATCACATACCATCAGGTGACCTGCTTGCTTGGTTCCCTCCCTCCTTTTCCATAATATAAGGTGAACAATGAGACCTACCACCATCAAGTGTATTACAAATTTGATAACTCAGATTCCTGTTATATAACTGCTTTCCTGCTATCATACACTAGGCACTAATGTCCAAGAATAATTTCCAAAAAATTTGAATAACGCAAAATCTATCTCGCATTTTCCACCAGTTGATGTGTTCAATCACTAACCAAGTAACCTCTTAGCAGAGTCTTTTCATTTTTGGTTATTAATTCTCAAATATAAGTGTATATGCGGGTGCGTGTCAAATACATGATAGTGTGCTATTGTTTTGTATATTGACTGAATGTATTTATTATGCAAATTTTTTAAAAAAATATATTAACCTTCTGCACTCCTTCTCTATATAAACTATAAGTGCGAGAAATTTCATGCTCTTCCGTCCGTGCAATTTTCGTAAAAAAACAAATACAGATTATGTAGAGTCCACATCTCTACTAATTTTATTATAATTAACGGTTGGAGTAATTCTATTCATTCAAAGATTTTATTTAAATACTGGTTAGGTCAAGGTCTTGAAATTATAATACCTGCGGTAAATATGATGGCATCATTAACTCTTATTAGTCTTGCGTTTTATGCCTGACTTTTAACCCATATCTGACAACTGCAATTATGATTATGTTTGTTAATATCTTGACTCTCATTATTGTCAGTAATTTTTCAATGTTTCGAAGCACTGTTTCAAGAATTACGTGCTTAGGTTTATTTGTAAAAGTTTCAAGGTTTCCCTTTGTTTATTACAGTAAATGTTGTTTCAAAGATAACCTTCCATGATTTTAAACAGTCATAATATACTTAAGTTGTTTTCGTGTTTATAATTAAAACTTGTTGTTTATTTTTCGTTTAAAACACTATGATGTAATCACTGTAGTATTTCTTCGTATTGGCTGGAAATTTTCCATGTTGGTTTCGTTGCATTTATAATAAATAACTCACTTTTTCAAAAAGGCAGTTTTTTTTGCAGCACTGTGGCAAATATTTGATTGTATCAATCTGTTTTTTTTTTCATGACTGGCATTAGAATACATGATGCGTCCAATGACCGTGAAGAAACTATTATAAAGTAGCTTATAGCAGTTTTAGTAGTTTCTGGCAACTAAGGACGTGTTTAATAACTATAACAAAAAAAAAACACATATTCAACCGTTAGTTTTTATAATCTTCACATAGTTTGTAAAATTTGGAATTATGGCTTAAAATGTAATAAAGATGTACACAGCTAATAATTGTTCTTATATTTACAGAACGGTATTTGGAATGATATTTTTCTCGATTTATTGTGAATATTTTGTCACGGGGCACACTCTTGTTAATTATTGTTTAACATGACATGAGTTTCTAGAATGCTTGAAAACAACGTTGATTTTGATTTGCAATTGATGACTATTAAAGAACGATCAACAGAAAATCGAGTTTCTCGAATATACACTACACCATTATCATTTATCATGTTACAGTATTTACTTGGCTATCTCTATAGCTAATATGATTTAAAAAAATATGAAATCTATTACACTTATCGACATAAGAAAAGCATGTCCCATACTTTCCGCGTGGTTATTTTTACTTACGCCGGTTTTGAACCAATTATGTTTTTCCTAAAGGTTTACCTTCAAGATTGCCCTTTATAAAAATCTCATGACGTGTTGTCGTGTCTTAAGGTATAAGTTATAAATTTAAAATATAACAGTGGTTGTTTTTTATTAATAATTTTAAAACTGATACTTAAACACCTGGGCGACTGTTTTTTTTTTTTTTCTGTGAAATGACGATTTTCGTAAATTTATTTGATATATTATTTTTATTTGTATGTTGTTTTGATGTTTTTTATGAAGCTCCATCTAAAAAAAATTGAGGTAGCCTAACATCCGATAGCGACCAAGCAATCTGTCGTTTTTTCTATCGTTTTCGCCTTTTTTAGGCCGAGATACAGATCTTGATCAAAACTGAGAGAATTTGATCCTATTTGGATTACCTACATGGTGAAATTGAAATCATGAACATCCTTATAAACTAAGACCCTACTAAAATAAGTAGACTTAGACTGTAGTATAGTATATAACTAGTAGCATTGTCACTTTAATTACATAAATTAAAAAATACTTATGTATTATTATTGTAGGTAATTGTGGAAATTCCCAAAAATCTAGTTAACATTGAGTAGGTAGTAAATAACATTTTGTTCTTAGATTACAATATGCTATTATTGCAAAAAAGTGTGTGTGTACTTATGTACACGCGTTAGAAGTTATGCTTCTTAGGCGAAACTAGATAAAAATCTTTTCAAAAATTTCTTGTCTTTCAACTAATTCTACGTTTGTAGAAAAAACGACACTAACAATAGAAAAAAGATATTTAATACATTAAAAGTTTTTATTATTACGCATTATCTAGGTAAATTAAGTTTATTTAAATATCACAAAATAAATATCGTGAATACAGTTACCAGTTCTCACATACGTAGATGTCTAGCTAACTTCAGGGTGTCGGTGTTTCGTGATGATGTGCGCGCGCATCGTAAAAATTTACTCTTATAATTATTTCCCTAACGCGCCAAAAGAAGTATAAAATCAATAATCAGGAAAAATAATAAAAACACGTAACGAAGAAGCAGGTCAACAAACTGAAGAGAAATTTACATAATAATTCACTTTTAAGGTCCTTAGGTACGGCCGGCGGCCGGCGAGGCACACTCTGTCCTGCTCTTTGACGTTTGCTTTGCTTTATTTATTCCAACTTTTCCCGATTATACTTCGTTGACTTTGATGTACAAAACTACTATTAAATGTTCAGAGTTAAGTAAGACATTAAAGCAATTAATTCATGTATTGTAGTTTTGGCGCAAAAAAAGTTTAAAAAGTTACAACACATAATAGATATTTACAATAATTTTTCAGAAATTAAAATTTTTCATTTAAAAAAAAGTCAAGTCAAAATTTCTTTCTTCAACATAGGCTTGTTTTAAAGCTCTTATTGAACGTCAAAAACTACCACCGGTTTACTAAGCTAGACCTGCAAGAGAAGAACCGGCTAGAATCTCTACGGTAATTTTTTTTTAAATAAATTATTTAGGTATATACACAAAAGTATTTAAGTATAAATAAGCAGGAGCAGGTGACTTGCAAGTGCAGCGCAAGAGTCATTTTCACGCATCCTTATCCTCAACATTATAATAGGCCCTTTCCATTAAGATGGCTTTTACAAAATGTTTGAATTAACTTACTATTTAAAAATTTGTAGATTTGTCTCTCGAATCATTTTACCGTTCACACACCATTCTTTTAATTTCTTACCATAAATAAAAGTCCACATTCTTGAGTTCGCACTAAATTGTGTATGCGATGGTACAAGTAAAATCAATTGATAATATGTTGACAACCTTCGACACATTCTAGCTCGCACGTCAACCGGTCGAGGCATTATTTAAACAATCTTTTCTGTATTTCGAATCCAAAGCATGCGTCAACGTATGCGCGTAGTTGCATCAGTTTTTTTTAATATTATCACACTTGGTTGTTTTTATGTTACAGATCCAAAATATTTAGAAACAACAATCATAGCATGCAAGGGGTCCTTGGAACGAGCGAAGGTACAACTTGACAAGATCTGTACATACAGGACACTCTTACCGGCTTTCTTTGGAAAATTCGACGTGAAGAAAGACGTTGGCAATTTATATGACATAATGTAAGTAAAATATAAAATTGTAACAGACACTAAGAACCTACTTTATGTAAATACGATGGATGCAAATAAAATAGCACGAGCTACAATAAAAACGACTCTCTGTGTATCGCCTTTTCATATCAAATAAAAAAGGTTTAACAACATGATACATAATTATTTTTTCTTAATTTTTTTTTTCTTTAATTGCTTGCACGAAGTAATTGCGACCAAGGAAGGACGCATTGGCGCAGGTTTCAGGGCTACTGCGAAAGGGCACAAGACGTTATTAGTCAATGATATAATACGCGCTGGCTGAGTATTATTCATTCTCAGAGGCTTAATCCTTACTTCTTTTCTATATTTTAGATATTTGTTGCTCTTTCACGCAAAAACTACTGAATAGATTTTAAAGAAACTGTACAAGCGCAAAACTTTAATAACTTATACATCAGAATAACACATTACATAGGCTATAAGTTATAAGATTTTGTGTGACTTCTTCAAAATATGGCTAATGATAAGTATCAACTACGTAGGAAAAAATTCAGCCATCTGCGAGATATTCTGGTGTATAATAAAAATTCATTGTTGATTCCCTCTGACCGCGCGGGCGAAGCCGCGATTATCAGCTAGTTTATAATATGCCAATGTGTGGGGTTCATACTGTTGCTACTTAAAGGCTAAATAAGACTTTACCTGTCCTATTATATTGTAAACTATACGTTTTTAAAAAGAGCAACTGTTGAGTATCTTGTCAGTTTCTTCTCAACAGACGTGGACTGTTATCAAGTTAAGTAGTGCATATTTTATTATTAACAAATAAGAAATATTATATAGCTTACCAATAGGAATCGTAAAACTTTTATTAGTGTATATTACTACACCTCAGTAATATGTATTGTATAAATTCAATTTAAACTTAGGCGATTTCTTTGATAAAATATAAAATTCTTTTATTTTATATTAATCGTTGATTTCAATTCAATTCAATTTTTATTTATTATTAATTTCATCGTGTGTTATTGTTTTTGCTGTGAATGAATAATGCTGCGATACGACAAGGCACCGTGGTTGCGCGGTTACAAAGTCGCGACAGGAAGTTATTTCATTTAAAATCAGTTATTAAGTATTGTTTCTTGTTTAAATAAATATTATATATACACGATACACAAAGCAATTTTAGCATAAATATTTTTCCAAGATAGAACTTACTGAACGAAATCTTGCACTTTCTGACGTCTCTCCAGTTCATGGGACTCCTTAATACCTTTAATTACCTACATATAACGAACCGAACCTATCAGTTTCAAATAAACAATTTTTTTAAGTTTGAGATATTAGACTGAAATATATAATAATGGCAATGCTGATACTAAATATGTTGTGATGTAAATATGTTGAAGTGCAGAAGTAAATTCACTTTTAGATCTTCGAGACTTTAGTATATATTTCTTTGTGCCGCGTGGTTCCGGCTTAAGAATAGGACCACCCCGTCTCTTCCCATGGGTGTCGTAAAAGACGACTAAGGGATTAAAATTGTTGTGATCGAGTCTACTCACCGGATGAACGGGGGGCTTGTCACGTGCTGGTGGACAAGTATAGTGTGGATCCCTCCCGCATGAAGTCTGATTCGGTGAGAAAGGCGACCCACCGCAGATATGCAATGGGCTTGGTGTACTCAGTGAATCAGCAAGGCAAGGTGGATGGCCAAGGGCGACGTTAGAAGGGTTATAGTAACGTCGGCTAGACACATCATCTAACCTCTCCTTCAGTCGTAGCGGTTTTCCGTTCCACTGAATCAAGGAGTGGAAGGACGAGTGCGTGCTCCTGCGTGTGCGGAACGCTTGCGCACCTTAATATAACCTGCGTATCTGACCGCTTCCGTATAATGACCTCCGATGACGTAAATTCCCGTAGCGATGGGAGGAAGAAGAAAGGTCTGGCTTGATGCAGGCTGGGCTTTGTCTGACTTCTGCATACGGGCGGTTCCGGGGGTGTGATTACATGCTGTGGTCGCTTTTGCACTGCAAATGGGGGCGAAAGTGTGGATTCAGCAGCACCTGGGATGACAAAGCAGCCCTATTTAGGGAGGCACTGCTTTCCTCGCTCAGCCGGGGAGGGGGCTAGAAAAGGTGCCCTAAAAAATGCTCGTTCCTACTTCAAAGGTGGTAGTAGCCACGGCTGCCATCGCATCAACCTAATTCGTGGTCGAAGTAACAGAAACAATAAAAACGCCATAAAACCATCTGTTATGACATTTGGTGCGTGGAACGTGAGAACGCTAATTGATCGAGATGGCAAGGCCTGCCCTGAACGTAAAACCGCCATAGTAGCTCGTGAACTTTATCGTTATAATGTGGATGAGGCTGCGCTCAGCGAAACCCATCTCCCTGATGAAGGAGAGCTGGTGGAAGATGGCGGCGGCTATACATTTTTCTGGAAAGGTACCGCTTGTTCAGAACCTCGATTTTCAGGTGTAGGATTTGCCATCAAGAATCAGTTAAGCGACTTGAGGAGTACCCCCCGTACACATTTCGGACCGCGTGACCTCCTTGCGCCTTCACCTGGATAATGACAATTTCCTTAATATAATCAGTGTACAAGTCTGATGCTATCAAGGACAAATTCTATGATGAATTATCTTAATGCCTTGACAGCATAAGCTCCAGAGAGCAGGTCCTGTTGCTAGGAGATTTCAATGCCAGGGTAGGTCGGGACTATGAGGCCTGGCCTTTTTTTTTTGTTGATGTGGGGGAAATGTTACGCATACCCGCCCTCGCGGAGGCAAGAGCGGGTTGTGTCGGACTCGCACCGACTAAAACCCCCACGATGTTACACCTAGGCGCATATCGGCAGGGTCACGAGAACGCTTTCGCACACTTCCGCGACTCTGCCAGCGCTAGCCGCCTTAGCAGCCCCCTCACGGGGAGCAACTCCCCTCTCCTCCAGGTAAAGCGCGCTGGAACATTAAGCGCGCCTTACTATCCGGCCCCATTTTAACGGCCAACGAACTCCCGCGAGTTCACTAACCGGGGCCATGGGAGCCAGGAGAGCCAGTGCTAATAAGCAGCCCCCAGCGGCGGACCTGGTCTGTGTCACCACGTTTCGGCCGCGGAGGATAGGGAGAACGGCGCACCGCAATACCGACACTATTCTCCCCCCGCGGCCCCACCACCACAGCATCAGTGGTGCAGCCCCGCCGAATCGCGGAAGAAAGGGAGTACGACCAACGCAATACCGACACTCCTCTTCCCCCGCGACTCTTCCTCGGTAACAGAAGACAGGGTGAGTGGCTCCACCTCTACCACCCTCGACCTGTCCCCTGCACCCTGCAGCACGCATTCAGAGTGGGCTCAATGAGCCCACTCAGAGCAGCCCTCTCGGGCCGGCCTTGCACCACAGGCCGGCCCAGTGTGGATTCCTCTTGGCTTCGCCGTGGGGGACCAAGCCACGGCTACTAAGCCCCTCCGCCACGTCAAGGCGGGAACCCGGTCGGAGGGGAATGAGGCCTGGCCTGGAGTTCTGGGTAGACACGGAGTTGGCAAAAGGAACAGTAATGGTCAGTTGCTACTCAGTTTTTGTGCTAAATACGAACTTGCAATAACGAACACAATGTTCAGACTTTCCGCCAACCACAAGACTACATGGATGCACCCAAGATCCAAGCACTGGCATTTGATCGATTATGCTGTCGTACGGCAAAGAGATATCAGTCAAGTCCAAATCACTGACTGATCACCGACTTATTGTCACTAAACTGCGACTCCGCAGAGTCGCAGTTTAGTGACATGCGAGAGATTTCAAATAAGAAAGCCTGCGTCCTTGAACATAGATAGGCTAAAAAATCGCAACTTCAGGGAGATCTATGCTGAAGCCTTATCTGGAAATATGTCGCCAGTTAGTGAGATTGGTGATATCAGCTCTGCTTGGAGTGCGTTGTCTTCTCATCTCATGGAGACTGCCTCAATTACTTTAGGTGTAAAACACCGACGTAATGAAGACTGGTTCCATGAGAATGACGAAGCTCTCAGAGCGGGGTTGGATAAGCATCGAGATCTTCTGCGACAGCATACTAGACGAGGAAGAAGCGTTGCGGCGCTCAAAGAGAGTGATACTCAATTGCGTAAGCTGTCTCGAAGATTAAAAGATAATTGATGGCAAGACAAAGCTTGTCATATCCAGTGGCTTGCTGACACAAACCAGCTTGGGGAGTTCTACACCGAGTTACGTAAACTGATTAAAACATCCTACTGAGTTAAAGTGCCTTTGAGGTCTTCAAACGGAACGCACTTACTTACAAGCAAGGATGATGTACTGAAGCGTTGGGCCGAACATTTGAATACATTGCTCAACGTAGATCGATAAGCTGATCTTCAGAATATCAGTTTGTTGCCTCAACTCCCCTTAGCCACTGAGCTGGACCAGCCTCTGTCGTGTGACGAGGTTGTTATTGCCATCAGACAGCAACAAAATCAATGGGCGGCTGGCATTGACCTTATACCAGGCGAGCTGCTTAAGTACAGCGGGGAGGAGTTGCACATTTTCGTGTGGGATCTATTTGTTCGTATGTGGGAGGAGGAACGAGTCCCGCATGATTTCAAAGTGTCGCGCATAATTGCACTCTATAAGAACAAGGGTGACCGGTCCGACTACAGCTCCCACCGTGGTATTTCGCTTCTGACAGCCCCCGGAAAGGTCTTTGCAAGAGCCCTTTTAAACCGCCTGAAGCTTTTGTCGGAAAAGATTTTGCCTGAAACCCAGTTTGGCTTCCGGCCTGACCGAAGCACTGTGAAGCTATCTTCTCTGTGTAACGTGTGATGTTTGTGCGTTGGCGCACAGATGTAACGTTTTGAAAAACGTTACATCTGTGCGCCAACTCCAAGAAAAAAGTAGAGAACAGGGACGTCAACTATATCTCTGCTTTGTGGACTTAGAGAAAATTTTCGACAGTGTGCCTCGTAAAGCTCTCTAGGTGGTGCTAGGAAGGCTGGGGTGTACGGAAAAGTTTGTGAGGCTTCTAAGACTTCTGAATGAGGATATGCAATGCTGCGTCTCCGTAGACGGTGAACAGTCAAATTTTTTCCCCTTTACCTGTGGAGTTAAACATGGGTGTGTCTTAGCGCCCACACTGTTTGCCCTTTATTTTGCAGTAGTAGTCAAAGAGGTCTTACAAACGGTTTCCGAACGAGTTCGCATCCGCTTCCGAACAGATGGCAGTCTTTTCAACCTGGCCAGACTTAAGGCGCGCACCAAAGTCTCGTATGCATTAATTACAGAGATTATGTATGCTGATGACTTATGCTTTTTAGCAGAATCTCCACAAGGCCTACAAAAGCTGATATCTGTCTAACACCAAGCATGCTGTAAGTTTGGTCTGAAGATTAGTGTCAAAAAGACGGAGGTGATGTCCTTGGACACACATGGTCGTGAGACACTGACCATTAAGCTTGGTGAGGATGTGCTGAACCAGGTCGATAAGTTTCGATATCTGGGTAGCACTATAATCTAACTGCGACCTTGACGCTGAAATCAACCGCAGGATCAGTTCTGCAGCTGCTGCATTTGGTAAGCTGCGATCTAAGGTCTTTTGCTCACACGACCTTAAGGTGGCTACAAAAATCTCGGTGTAAATGGCGATTGTACTGCCTAGCCTCTTATATTCCTCCGAGACATTGTGTGTGTATCGCCACTACATTCGTACTCTGGATCGGTTCCACCTTAAATGCCTTCGTGCCATCATGAAGATCAGATGGTCCGACCGGGTGCGTAATACTGAAGTTTTGCGACGAGCCAATGTCGGTGGCGTTGAGGCATATTTAATGTGTCGGCAGCTTTGGTGGTGCGGTCATGTGTCACGTATGGCGGAGGAACGAGTGGCGAACCGCACCTTTTACTCTGAACTAGAGTTGGGGAAGCGGAAACATGGCGGTCGACTCCTCAGATACAAAGATGTTCAGAAACGACATGTGAAGAGATGCAACATAGAGCCATCCAATTGGGAGGTTTTGGCGGCACAGCGTCCGGAATTGTGCAGAGGCGTATCCGCGAGCTTGAAGATCAGCGTAAAGCTGAACTCGACGCTAAGCGCGATGACCTAAAGGCCCGTCCAACCGCCGCCATTAGCTATAACTATGTAGGCGGCGTACTCACGTGCCCTCACTGTGCAAGAGAGTTTGCCGCTAAGATTGGCTATATAAGCCATTTTCGGGCGCATTAGCGCCAAATCAATTAGGAGTTGAAGAGGTAGCCATGGCCGAAATCGGTCGGAATAATCATCTATATTTCAATTTTTTACGTATGTTTAGAAAAACATATATATCTTAATTGAGTATTCAATCTTCTATAATTGAATGCAAAGATATCCTCCTTAGAAAGAAGATACGTTTTTGATAATTTTTGACTAGACACACAATTTTTTGTATTATATTGTAAGATAAACTAAAATTTCTAAATGCATCCAAGTGTAAAAGTTTGCAAAATAATATTTAAAAATAGAAATCTATTTATGCTTTCAATAAAAACTATTTTTAATAAACACTCGTTCCAGACTGCCCGTTATGTTACCAAAACTTACGGCAGACCACTATCGAGTTTACCTGGTGAAGTTGTTTGACAAGACTCTTGACCCCTCACAGTTAATGGATTATTTGAAATTTGGTGTCGTCGTAAGTAAATAATTTAGCCTAATATAATATAACATAGAATTGATAGACTTTGTCCTATACACAGAACTTAAATCTGACAACAAATTATAAACTAAAAATAAAAAAAAAACATTGTAGTGGACCGAATTGTGAATCTAAACTATTCTCAAATCTACCTGGAGACACACAAAAAATTCATTAAAATCAGTCCAGCCGGAGTTCAGTGACATACACACATGTACAGGAATTATACAGCGTGTCGTTACGATCGCGACAATATATGAACGCACATATACGGGATAAATTTAAAGTTGTATTAAACATTTAAATTCTTTAAACATTAATATTTACAGAGTTATTAAATTTTCCAAAAAAAGAATTTTAGAACACCCTCACCTATAAAAGCGTAACGTAAAGTTCATTTGTAAAGGTCACAAAGCATATGAATGGGTTGAATGAATTTAAAAGAGACAAAACATACTGTTAGAAGGAGAAGCTTGTAATACGATGCTGTGGCGCGAGTTGTATAGGATGTTACAAATTTTGTTTCTTTTTTAATTAATTAGTTTGTTTGAAAAATTTTTTTTTAATTATGGATTTTGTTTAACGTTAATATTTTTTTATGATTATTGGTACGTAGCGTTAGACGTGTGTTTATTTATTGTCGCGATGGTAACGCCACGCTGTATATTTGTACCACAGGTCTTGATTCGAAAAAACTGCTATTGACGATAACTTGAAGGTCAATAAGAAAATCCTTCACCCAAATTCAGTAAGAGATTTCCAGTCAACCCCTTTGGCCAATGTCCCCTCTCCATTAGAATAAATAAATACCGGCAAAGTGCGAGTTGAACTTCCACACGAAGGGTTCCGTATTATAATCTGTTAAAAACGGCGAAAAAAATCATGTCTTTTTTATGACAGCCCCACTTAAATATTTTTGTATTCTGTTTTTCAGTATTGGTTCTTATAGCGACAACAAAAATGCATCATATGTGATTCAACTACAACTTGAAATTTCAACAGTCTAACTATAACGGTTCATGAGATATAGCCTGGTGACAGATGGTCGGACATCGGAGTTTTAGTAATACGAAACATGTTTTTTATTACGAATTTACAAATAACAGTCAATAAAACTGTAGTTTTTAATTCAGCGGAAATTCATTAGAAAATGTATTAACCTGTATAAAACTTTTTAAATAGGATAATACATTTTCTTCTGTTCGATTAAATATTTCTTTAATTAAGTCTAATTAAAATAAATTATTTTCCAGGTAGGTGAATATTTAAAACTTCACGATTACATAAACGGCTTCTTAGTGCTCGTCGATTTTAGAGAAATAAATATCATGGATCTGGTCACGAAAATAAATCCAGTTCAACTCCAACAAGGCTTAGCCATATATATTGTAAGTCTATTCTCTAAATATTCCTAATTAATAATATGCCTTACATAAAGTTATAACTGTAATACTGTATGACGAGTTACCCACAAATACTATGAGTTCGACCTATTTATTAAATAACCCTCAATCACATCTATTTTAAGTCTATTCTCTAAATATTCCTAATTAATAATATGCCTTACATAAAGTTATAACTGTAATACTGTATGACGTGTTACGCAAAAATACTATGAGTTGGACCTATTTATTAAATAACTATCAATCACATCAATCCCTTTGATTATCATGCCGCTTTTTGGCTATCCACGCACCGTAAAAATTTTATCCTCGTATTTTTTTCCAAACTACCCAAAATTCTACTAGATGAGGAAAGAATCGGTTGCTATTGCCTGAAAAGTGATCAAAGAATGATCTCAATTTTTTTTGACAAAATATAAGTTAATAGTAACTTTCTAATCCATAAACAATAAGCATTCGTTTTTATATTGAATATTTAGTATTATAGCTTATCATGAGTGAAAACTTGATCGATTATTTAATTTATGTATGTAATAAGTGTACATACATACGTTGTCGTGGAGGTAATGCTAAATACAGCGAGTACAAACATTTCTGGGCCTATGTTTGATGCTATGTTTTTCTTCGCAGGAAGCCTTTGGCATGAGATTAAAGGGCATACACATTTTGACACCTTCAAAGTTTGTCGACGCCTTTATCACAATCTTAAAGCAAGTCCTAAGTGAAAAAATCTCAAAGCGAATTTACGTACATAAAACTATTGATACGATTTACGATTGTATACCGAAAGAAATTTTACCCATTGAATATGGGGGGAAAGAGAGAAGTTTAAAAAACCTTCATGGTGGGTATTATGGATCGACTTAAATTAATTTACATCACAAGTAGCGTCTTGATATTTGTGTATAAAACCTTAAACATTTTGTCCCTATTCCATTATTTCAGCTGGTAGTTAGAGTAAAACTTCTTTTTGCCCCCTTAAGGAGTCACTTCACCACTCCTCCACCTACCGATGTTATCGGTAGATGGAATGTGAAGTTTATTGTATGCGTGCATGCTTGTATATGAAACTAGCACGCACATTTTTGACCTTAAAATGCTACATTTGAAATGCAATATGGTATTATGCTAGTATTATATCAATTTAGGAGTGTAACAGGCAAAGCGATCAAACTCTGTGATTATTGCCATTCTTTGACATCAACTATCGTATTTACACTTTTATTTAAGTAATGTTTTTGAAAGTAAAAGAAAATAGTTACCTAATGTAACATTTTTTTGCACGGGGTACTGAAATGGTTTAACCACTAAAAATATTTATTAAATATTTCTAGAAATGTGGCTTGAACTTCTCTCGTCTAAGGAGCATCTAGACTTCTTAGAAGAGGTACGTGATGTGAAAACTGATGAGTCGTGCAGACAAGCGGATGATTTTAACGGACAATACGCCGGTATGCCGGGTACGTTTAGAGTACTTAGTTTAGACTAGTTTGTTGTAACGTGTTTTGGTTTTTGTAAAGTAGCTTTATAAATAATAGCATAATTAGATTACTGTGAAAAATGTCAATAAAGTTTTACTTTAAGACGAACAAAAGTAACATCTGGGGTTTTCAATTTTGCTTGATTAATACAAAATGATTGCCTATTATATATATTTCCATTTAGTTACAAGCGCTTATGAGTTTTAGCAGTACTTTATGTATAAAAAATAATGTGATTAATTAGGGAGAATAATTAATGCAAGCGTCCTTTTTAAACATAAAAGTAGTAAAATTTTCCTTTAATAAAACTATATTAACATTTTTCTCTTATACATTTATTTTTTTACTACTAACTACGTACATATTTGTACTATGAAGCTATTAATGTATATTTTGTTTTTAACCGCCTGATTAATTATGAAAGCTAAAAGTTTACAATTTATGTCATGTAGAATTTTTACAGGCGTTATTATTAAAACATGGTGATCTTAAGTACAGAGATTTGCACTATGAAAAAAAAATAAAAAAGGCGATAATAAAAGTTATGATAATAATTTTATTATGATAAGTTTTAATCGACGGAATATTTTGAAATTAATAACTAATTTTTTTATTGTTCTCGTAACAGCGCTTGTAATAAGACAAAAGAACATTTTTGTCCACTCCTAATTTTAAGAACTGAATATAAATATTTCTACATAATATGTGGGAGAAGCGTAGCTTGCAATTACTATAAAATGTCAAATTACACATGGTGTGCGATATATATACGTAGATATAATATGTTTAATATAAGAGTATGTCCTAGTTTTTTGTTAACTCATAGCCACAGGTTTGGGAAGCTTTGTTTAACATATTGAAATGGAAATAAATTTTTTTTTAATATAAGCAATACTTTTTGTTTTTTAGTCCGCACTTAATCTTCTGTTCGAACTCCTTTACCTAATTCAGAGTATTATGATATTTTATTTATGTTTTTGAATACCATATAATGCCGATATATCCCTTGACTGATGCCTTGGTTTCGTTACTCCAGAATTGGGGATTCCTGCCAGAACGTAATATATATACCTGTATAAATAGATTAGAGGATAAATTAAATAGGTGTATTTCTATGTATTTACTTTTCTTAATATTTATTTAGTACACCCCTGGTTGCCTGGAAGAGATCGAGAAGCGATAAGACCGCCTGTTGTACCCGTGTGGTTTTTAATTATAAATACTGTAATGTCTCTTGATATATACTAAAGTATATTTTACTTTTACTTTTACTTTAACTGGCAATAGTCCCTTCCCAAGTCAGTCACCGACATTCGATCGTTGCACGCGGAGATGCACTTCAAACGCGCTCAAGTTGTAGCAATATCGCAGTATTTAACTCCATCCTTACTAATATTATAAACGCGAAAGTTTGAATGTATGCATAGATGTTTGTTAATCTTTCACGCAAAAACTACTGTATAGATTTTAATCTAATAGACTTTACAATAATACAGCTTATACATCAGAATAACACATAGGCTATAATTTATAAAATATGTGTAAATTGTCCAACATATAGGTAATGATAAGTGTCCTCTAAGTAGGAAAAAGTTCAGCCATCTGCGAGACAATCTGGCGTTCAATAAAAAAAACTCATGTTAATTCCCCCTGGCCCCGCGGGGCGCAGCCACATTTAACAGCTAGTATTCAATAAAATTGACCCTTTGTGGTAAATCGTACCAGAACTACTTTTAATACACCACCAAATAGCTGAGTAAAACTAAATTAATAGCCACGCCAGAGGAATCTTCACAGATATAAGTTAGAAGTGAGCAACTAAGGCAAAATAAGCTCATCGACAAGAAGATTGAGTTCAATCTAGCTGTAATGGAAGGTCGCAAAAATACCCAAAAACAGATTCTTGTAGACGAATGGATGGAAACGAGTAATGTGCAGACATCACCATCACCGACGATTGAGCCAGCGGCGACGGTGGCATCGAAGGCAGCGCGAACACCTAGTATTAACCCAATTCGCACACCGGCCCACCATATGCCTGTCGACAGCATTTTTTTTTTTTTTTTTTTCGTGGGGATATCCTGCATAGGATACCTGTCTACCAAGAGAGGATAGACAGGTTATGTCGGATTCCTACCGACTAAAACCCCACGTTACTCATCTTTAGTCCTGATGAGGGGGCACGGGATCTCCTAAAGGAACGCAACCGCGGCCCCTCTGACTTACTAAGTAGCCCAGGTTCGGGGATATACTCGCTACCCCAAGTACGTGCGCGAAGATGAGGATCTTGATCACCTGCAGCCCCAATAACCCGTTCACTCATCGAAGCTATCTTTGGATGCCATGGCTGGGAGCTCCAACTCCCTGCCGTCGTCTCCGGCGGGTGGGATCACTTCTTTCGCGATCACGTTCAGCAGCCTCCTTTTGGAGCATAACAGACTCGCAAAAGGAGGCTACAGCGCTCCACTTTAGGTTTCCGGACAGCATTGCAGAAATAACTGCTGTTAGGGAAAGTCTCTGTCCAATATGGTTCTCCAGGATCCGCCTCTCCTGCTCCCATGCAGGGCATATCGCAAGCGTATGGTCTGCGGAATCCTGGTTCACCCCACCGCAGTGGTAGCACATCGCCGTCGCTTCTCGTCCAATCCTACACAGATAATCACCGAAGCAGCCGTGCCCTGTGATTATCTGTGTAAGTCTGTAAGTGAGTCTTCCCCACCGTCGCTGCATCCAGGCTTCGAAGACCGGCAAAATTGCCCTTATGACGCGTTTGCGTGCAAATTGCTCTTTACAAAGCCGTGCACGCCACGTCAAAAGAGCGCTAAGCCGCTCTTGCCGTTTAACAGCCTCGAGCACCTCTACTGACTCGCTACGGCCACTTTGGCGGATGACTCGAATGGTTGTAAACACATGCATCCATGTTCGCCAATATGTCCAAAGGTGGGAAGCGAGCCAGGAGTGTCGCCGCCTCGAATGATATCGTGTGATATCCTCGAACGATCCGTATGGCTATCCTCCGCTGGACGCTGTAAATTTTAGTTCTACAGCGTCTAATGGCCAGCCTTTGAGCCCAAACTGGTGCACCATACAGAGCCACGGAACGTACGAATCCTGCATAGAGGCGGCGCACTTCCTCTCTTGGGCCCCCAAGATTGGGCAGCAGTCTGTGCATGGCACCCGCTACCCTCTCGATCCGGGGGACTAGGCGCTCAAGGTGTTCTTCAAAACCCCAGCGACTGTCCAGAATAAGGCCAAGGTACTTCATATACCGCCCCACTTCCACTTCAGACCCACTCACTTGGATACATGAGTTAGGTGGTTCCGTGTTTCGTGACATTTTATGAAACCATAGCGCTTCGGTCTTGTGAGGTGCTATCTTTAATCCCAACTCATGTATCTTATCAATGACAATTTGCACGCCAAGCTCAGCTCGCTCTTTGGCCCTCTCGAAATTTTCCCCGCTAGCAACTACTAGCGTGTCATCCGCATAACAGACGACGTCGACGCTAGCGGGTACGCAAACTCGGTACGCAAAACTGCATCGTATGCAATGTTCCACAATAATGGGCCCGGCACTGAGCCCTGTGGAACCCCACAGTACATCTCCCTCCTGATTCTAGTACCGTCTTGGTCTGTGTACAGAACGTACCTGTCGTGTAAATAATTTGCGACAATACCTTGGAGGTATTGTGGCACATTGTGCGTCGCTAACCCTTCCAGAATAGCGCCCCAAGGCAGAGAGTTGAAAGCGTTTACGATATCAAGACTAATCGCCAACGCCACTCTACCCTGGGACACAGCTTGGTCCGATAAGAAGCGAACGCGCATAATGGCGTCTATAGTTCTTTCGGAAGCCAAACTGGTTTTCGGAGATATCGGGACCAACTTGCGAAAGATGTTCATTGAGGCGGGAGGCAATGACTCTTTCAAAAATCTTGCCAACTTCATCCAACAGACAAATCGGGCGGTACGCAGAGGGAGAATTTGCAGCTCTACCTTCCTTCTTCAAGAGGACCAATTTAGCCTCCTTCCAGGGCTTGGGGAACGTGGAGTTGTATAGACAGCTTGAGAACAATTGCCTTAACCTTTCACCCAATATAGATAAGCTCAGCACCCAAGCCGGTATTCCATCAGGCCCTGGCGCAGTGTTTCGGGCTCTTAATCGGCCAACCGCTCTGCTCATCTCCAGCTCTGTCACTCCTATATTATGTTGCCGCTCTTGTACTGACGTTGGAGTTTGTATATTGGGATATGTGGGAGATCGGTTATCTGGGAAAAGTGAGCTAACCACTCTTTCTAAGAGATTCGAGTCCAGAGTTTCCGTCACTGGAGGCATTCAGGGCTTGAGTTTTCCTAGCACCAACTTATAAGGCCGCCCCCATGGGTTTTCATTAAGTTCCTCCAACAATTCTGCCCAGGATTGTGACTTGGCGTTGGAAATGGCAGCTTGCAACGCCAGAGTGGTTGCTCGATATTCTCCGTATAGCATGGCAATTTCATCATCTGAGTCTCGCTTTCTTCTTCTTCGGGCCCTTGTACACTGGCGCCGACTACGCAGGCAGATGGCACGTAATCGTGCAATTTCCGGCGACCACCAGTACACACCCCTTCGTTTAGAGAGGCTGATCCGAGGCATAGAAGTGTCGCAAATTCGAGTCATTACATCCCGGAACCAGTGTGCTTCTTCTTCCGCATCAGATAGAATCTCTCCTGTGCTTTGCTGCCAGGTTTCAACGTTGGTGGCGGCTTCAAGCATATCTCGATCTAACCGTTTAAGGGACCAACGTCGCATAGGACTGCCAACGTTGCGACTGGAATCGATAGGAGGACGACGGAATGTGACATCAAAGAAGATTTGGCGGTGACAGACAGCATACGCATGGCAGCAGGAGTCGCCCATGTAAGGTCTATTACTGACTCCCCCTGCCACCGCACACAAGTGCTACCTGATCCCTGGTTAGCGAGTCAAATCTAGCCCAGCAGCCCATTCCATTACTGCCTCTCCCTTTGAATCATTTCTAAGGTTCCCCCACTCTCTAGCATGAGCGTTCAAATCCCCTAAAGCGATTAAAGGACGAGGTAAGCATCGGCGAACGCAATCAGCTACATTATCTAGGTACGCCTCGTAGTCTGCAAGCGATCTATTCGGTGAGACTTAGCAACCCACTATGGCCAGAGTGCCCCACTGTACTGCGACAAAACCCTGTCCTTTTTCCAACAATGTGCATGGTGGAACACCCTCTCCGCCTCCCCAGTAAACAGCAACCGAGCCCAAGTTATCACCAAACCATCGTGGGTGGTCTGGAATAGTATAAGGCTCAGCTACTATTGCAAGGGCAATACTGCGCTCAACAATGCTTTGCATAAGAAGGTGCTGAGCATTCCGGCAGTGGTTAAGGCCCTGAAGGACTCTTGTGGGTTTCGTTTTTATATCACACCGACCTCCATCGGCGAGCTGCTGCTCGACGCCGCCATGTTAGTTGCCGTGGCCGTTTTTGCTGTAGTGCCCTGCGTTTGATTCTTTTTGCCTTTTTTAGTTGTTTTGGGGCACTGTTTACCCAGACGGTGACGCGAAGGAAGTCCCAGATCCGAGCACAGGGGGCACTTTAAATCTGTAGAGGTGCACTCCTTCGCTTTATGCCCGGACTCACCACAAGAGTAGCAGCGTGTGCTGCGATCGGTATTATTAGGACATCTAAGACCCACATATCCTGTTTCGAGGCATCTAAAACAGCGCATAGGCATCTAAAACAGCGCACAGCGCCTGGGCTCGAGCAACTCGACTCTTATGGAGCCCCAGCCCACGCGCAAAGATCCTTCAGCCGACAACTTCTGAATTGCCGTAACCGGACATCTAACCCAGCACGTCCCCATGCTGGTCGGTGTTCGACGGATATCCCCTACTTTCACTTGATCCGGTGAGCATTCTCCAGCTTCAGCAACCGCTGCTGCTACCTCTTGAGGGTCTATTGCATCATCTAGATCTCTCAGGCTTAGATCGCCCGATTTTATTGGGCTACTTATTCGAACCTGTGTGGCTGAAAATATCTTCCGCAATTTAGCAGCCAGATTATCCGCCTTCTGCTCGCAGCTCGGACCTGAGACCTCCAATAGCAGACCTCCGGTCACGGCGCGCTTTTGACGGATAGCAGATTCTATGCCTAGCTCTAGCAACGCAATTTTTGATTTTGCTTCCGCCATTAACTTTCCGTATGTAACGGAGGAGCCTTCTAGAATTGTCACTGTCACAGCTGCAGATGAAGGAGCGCGAGGTTTCCTTGGGCCTTTAGGCTTTTTATTCAAGATAGTGGTAACCGGCTGATTCGCACTTGTCACATCCACTGATTTTTACTAATGAAAGATACAGGGAGTGACGAAAAGCCTGAAAAAAGGCCCGCCTCGTGGGTAATCCCTATGCAGGATTTCCCCATAGCCCACGGTTCATGATGAACCGCGGGTACACCCCAGACCCAGCCAGTTATGGCCCGCGACGGTTTCCCGCTACCACCCATATGTGGGTGGTATTCCCCTATCCGCCACCTGGGGACGCGCCCGATGGGAGAACTGGCAACTCCACACGGGGTCGACAGCATACTTCAACTCGCCCATATACTCAATGACATAATGGTTACCTCATCCGCGTTCTTCAGTTTCGTTCTTCTAGACCAGAAGAATGAAAGTGAAGAACTATCCGGCGCAGCTCAGAAGACGTAGATGGGCATGCACTTCAAAATAGAACAAGCTAATAAGAATATGACTACAGCTCAATTATTAAGTGCTTTTTAGGTGCTTAAATAATAGATGTAACTTCTAAAAATAACAAAACATGAGCTTTCCGGTAGAATCATTGATATACTCGTATTGATGGTTTGCTGTTAAAAAGTCAGTTGAGCATGGTCATGTATTATTATAGTGCGTTCAAAAACATGGCACTGGCTCTACATTTAAGTTTTTTGTAGGTGCTTCACATATATCCCCTCCAACCGGGTTCCCTTGCTGTGGCGAAGTGGCTTAGTAGAAGTGGATTGGTCACTCAGTGCGAAGCTAAGAGGATCCCACATTGGGCCCGCCTGTGGTGTAAAGCAGGTGGTCATTTCCACACGGTGAATATACAGCGATGCTTAAACTTAGGAGTTTTCTTCCAAAATTTAGGAAAAGAAATGTTTTGGGGATATTTTTAGGGACTAAATTTTATTTATATTTTTAAAAACTTACACAGCAGTTTACTTATATAAAGCAAGCAAGCATTTAAAAGGACATGGCCAAAAGATACATTCCACGTACACGAACAAAGTAAATGCCTTCTA